TTGGTCATCGCGAGGTCGTGAGTACATTCGGATCGGAACGCGATGCAGTTGGAGCAAATATTCCCCGGCATATTGGCACTGTCGCCTGTAGGGCTTCAGCCTGAGGATGTGTAAGTCGGTGCAATTCACGCGTACATTTCACTAAGTACTGATCAGTTTGATTGGTTCCCAAGACACTGTTGTTACCCTTACCTTTTCGTTTGCGGCACACATCGCAGGAATTCGGAAGCCTTCGCTAGTAAGTCTATCAGTCGGTAACATGACACCGCGACTTTTGAGAGAGGCACACCTTCTTGAAAGGGATATGGGCAGTAGAGGGTTCCGACATTTGGGATGGATGTAAAGGGAATGGTTCGATGTCATTTAAGCGCTACGCTGGACCAGGTAATTGAAATTCCGTTAAAGTCATGTGTAACGGCTTAGAGCGGCAGGCGTGTCGAACATTCTGTTGAATCGGCGGAGCGTTGACAGGAACGGCTTTCCTGACACCATAATTGAATTGAAGAAGCGGGTGCTAATCGAAATCGCCAATTTCATAGCCTCGATCACCTAGGCTAAAACCAACAGCATTGCAAACAGACAATGCTCTTACGAGCAATACTGAACTTGTTCTGCGAATGTGCTGAGTGGGGAACACCATGAGCACGAAGCTTGCGAGGTTGCAATCGAGTTGCAACAAGCTCGACAACACTTCAATTTTTGATTTGTACTGGATAAGCTGGAATCAGTTGCTTAGCATGTCTTGGAGAGACTATATTCCAAACGACATACCCATCTCTCGTCATTTGCTATATTTTCGATACGTTTGCCTTCTCGTTCGAAGAAGAAATCCTGAAACGAAAGGGCGCCGGTTTGGGTTGGGTTTGGGGATCGTGGAAGGGACGCGGCAGGGGGTAACGGTGGCTGTGCTATTTCAGTTTATTTTGCCCTCTACCGCGTCGGTCATGGCCCGTGTATCTTTGAAATCGAATTCCCATGAAGTACGTTGTAAGTATGTGTTTCTGTAGGAGGAGACGTTGAATTCTGACTCTCGAAAGTTTTGACACAGATTGAGGCTTGATGTATTATGCAAGGACCTATGAGTATGCTAACGAGCAATTTGCTTCAGGATTCTGTGCCCCAGATGCTTGGCTTAAGAGGATGTCTATGGTGACAGATCGAGTCGAGTACCGCGGTTTTGCCCCAATGAAACTGGAAGCAGAGGGATGTCTTGCTTCCTTAGCCTCGTTTCGATTGCGATCACCACCTTAAACGTTCTATTTCACTCACTTATAGTAACAAAAGCCGAGGTAGCTGGGTTGCGTTACGATTGTGGTACGCAAATTTGGATTTCCGGATTCTGTGGCTCGAAGTCTAGAACGTTATATCTCATGATGCTTCATCGATACCGAACGAGGCAAAATCAACGCGCTTTTTTTGAGTTGTTCTTGAGATTTATCAGAGCAAATTCCACTCCATACGGCAAAGGTCGAACTTGATGGCCGCCGTATCTGGGCTCTGACCCTTCCATTTCAAATACGATTATGTTCTCCTCACTGTGAATTTTGAATGTCCTCGAGACGGACTGGACGGAATTAGTGGCGGTCTAGCCCGTCCGCGTCAGGGTCGGCTAACGGCTTGGTTATCGAACCGATGCCGGTCTGCCACGCGAGAACGTAAGCCTGGCACCTACTTACCCTCATCCAAGATGAACGAGGACGATAACCCAACGCCGTTCAAGAGAGCAAAGAGGCGGCTGCAGAATGCTTGCGATGAGTGTCGAAAGAGAAAAGGTCAGCTATTAAAAACTCCTAAATTCAAGAAATTTCAACCCTAACCAATTTCATAGTCAAATGTATCTCCCTTTTCTATAGCTTCCGAACGGTACGATATTGAGCTTGAAGCATGAAATCTAGGCAACAGCGCAGAAATGCCCGATAATAATTGCTCCAATTGCTTGGGATCTGGAATTCCGTGCACGCATAGCTTTGCCATGGAAAAGAAGGTACGTGGCCTAGTTTATGTGGAAAATCGAATCTCATCGTTCTCTCGTAGAGGCAAACATTACCGGCTCGGCATGTGTTTTCAATCTTTGAAGAAAGAAGCCTGCCTTACAGTATTTTCCAGACCTCCGAACTCGCTCGCAGATGCGCAGCAGCTCGTGAATTCCATTCTTTCCACATCCAAGCCATTCATAGTGCCACGAGATACACAAACAGTCCACCAACTTTTAGTCGACCTGGCACACTATGCAAGATCACTCGAACGCAGAGCCTCGCCCTCTGCATCTTCCTCGCCAGAACATACGTCTGACCCCGCAGATCCGTTTTGTTTGGGTCATGAACCACCAACCCCTGCCGGATTCTATATCCACACTGAGATGTCTCCTGCGGAAGAAGTAGACTTGAATAATATCAAGGACATCTTCGGTTTACTGACGCTCGAAGAAACTGCCCCTCGACATTTCGGGCCGTCAAGCACTGTCAAGTTTATACACTCCGTACTATTCTTGAAACAACGCATAAAGGGCACAAAGGAACGTGTTTCTAGGAAACGGCCTCAATTTTGGAGTATCTACCCCGTACGTGATCAAATTATACTGTCAGATTCGTATTCAGACCTCAACCCCACAGTGGCAAGCAGAGAGAGTAGAACCACCGCCTGAATATATCTTCCCGAGCAATGCTTTGATGCACGAGCTCGTCGATATCTTCTTCGAGAAAATCAACGCGTACCTTCCCTTGTTACATCGACCCACGTTCGAAAAGTGCATTGCGGATGACCTACATCGGCAGAACAGCCAGTTTGGTGCTACGGTTCTTGCCGTATGTGCCTGCGCAGCACGGTACAGCAACAATCCTCAAGTCTTGGCAGATCCGACCGAAGAGCTGAGCGCAGGTTGGCATTACTTTCGTCAAGTTCGACTCTTACGACCATCATTCGTATCTCTGGCGACAGTTTACGAACTACAGCTATATTGCGTATGTCTTGTGTCTTACCTCGTCTTCGTTGGCTGAACTCTTGTGAAAGTTAGCCTGCATATTCTTATATTCGACTACAACTCCTGAAGCGTGTTGGACTCTTCTTGGCCATGCTGTTCGATGTGCGCAGGACATGGGTATACACCGTAGCCCTCCGAAACATGCGAAGCCGACTGTGGAGTCTCAATTGCTCAACCGGGCGTTCTGGTGCCTATTTGTCATCGACGTGGTCATGACGGGGGCAGTGGGAAGGCCTCGAGCCATCCATCCAGACGAGTATGTCGATTCTCTGAATAGCCGCTCATTTCTAATTTCGAACACAAGGTATGATGTTCCTCTGCCGATTGATTGCGATGATGAATATTGGGAAACTGCCAACCCGGAGGATGCCTTTAAACAACCTCCCGGCAAGCCAAGCAGTATAAGCTTTTGGATTTCGTTCATAAAGCTGTTCGATATCCTCGCATTCTCTCAACTGAAAATGGTGCGCCGGCTAGCCTTCTAGCTCCACTTGACTTATTCTCTGATTTTTTTTGTGTCAGTGCATCGTGCGCAAGTCGGATACGGATAGCGAATGGACAGAGAGGAACGTCATGGAGATTGATTCGCGGTTGAACGCTTGGGTAGATACGATACCCGAACACCGTACGTCATCCTCGCTCATTACGAATCACTTCTGAGATGGTCCTCCAGTCAAATGGGATCCTAACCGAGTCAATAATCTGTTCTTCCACCAATCGGCCATCCTCAACATGACCTATTATTGGGTACAAATGCAAGTGCACAGACCGTTCATCATCCTCATACAGAAAGAGATTGTCAGCCCCTTACCATCGCAAGCTATTTGCGCTAATGCCGCACGGTCATGTTGTCACATCATGGCGGCGCAGCACCGAAGAGACGTTATTTCTCATCCAGTGACTTTGGTAGGCATGCCTTGTCCTAACGTATAGTAGTGCGCTATAATTCACCGTTTCCCAGCACGCTGGACATCTCAGTGCTGTGAGCTACACTCCCCTCTATCTTGTCAGAAATACCGACTTTTTTTTATAGGTGATTCTCTTCCTCCACGTCTGGAGATGCAACGAGAACAAGCCACCTCCAGACTCGGAAAAGGCGTTGAGGGACTGTTATGAATGCTTTGAGTGCTTAGGTATGTATGAGAGAAGGTAATTTTTCTTCTTGTTCCTTGTGTACTCTTAGTTGCTGAGCAGTTCCCAAAGATTTCAGATTGCAGGCTACTTTCGGTATGCTGTGCATGACTAGAACGTTTCCCACGGGATTTACGAATCTCGTTATAGCGATCTGCTCGCAGAAATGTTTCGGGATATGCCCTCCTACCGACAATCATTGAAACGCCCACGAGAAGGCGACAATAATTCGCGAAGGCCCTCAGACTCAGGTGGAACATCCGTACTTCAACCGGCACCAGCACTCCCCCAATGGCCTCAAGTTCAAGCGCTTTTGTCCCAGATATTGGACATATCAACGATCCTTCACTCTATCTACCAATGTACAGCGAGGAGCTCGGGAACCAGACTCCTACAGGAGATTATCATACTTCCTATCTGACCAACGGTCCGGTCTCCTCTGACTGGGCATCATTTAACACTTTGAATCCTAACTTCGCAGCTGAGGACCAACCAACGGTAGGCGCGCAGGAGTCGGCTTTCATGAACCACTATGCGGATGAATACTTGTCACTTTTATATGGTTCAATAATCACCTTCGTCTTTATTTTGTCCATGCTAATCCTTTTTAGGCTCTTCTGACTCGTGGCTCGCAAGCAATACTGGAAGTCATCAATTCAACAGCGAACAGCTGTAAGCTTATCTTACAGTGTTATTCTATCAACATGCTCATTGAAGTACAGGCCATGGACAGCATCAGATACCTTCCAATTCACACAATAGACCTAGACGAGCCTTGCTCATTAATTTAAAGTTGATTATAATGTATGGTAACATCCTGCAGTATTAACGGTGGTTGCGAAACTGCCTTTCCAGCAAGACCGAAACAGAGAAAAGGTAAAATTTAAAATACACCGTTCGGGAATCGAACCCGAGCCGCTTGCTAATCAATTGGAAGGCAAGCATGATAACCACTTCACCAACGGTGTTATATCACTTTGCGCACGCTTTTGTTATATGTAGTTGACTGGTACCTGGTGCAGAAATAAGGCATATTAGAAGACAACCTGACAGCTAGTCCATATATCTTGGTACGCTACATCCTGCGCTTGCGGAAGAAAACCTCTGCGGAGGTGTTGGGAATACTAGTAACACCATACCACTCACTCTCCGGAACAATACCTTCGGTCTCCAGCCTCACGTCATAATTCAGGAGGACATGGGACATTAGCGCTTTCAGCTCGTTCACCGCGAAGAATCGCCCAGGGCTGTTAAAATCATTTGAGATGCTGTTGTAATATGACCCCGGTATGGTGTTGCGCTTACCAGGCATGTCGTCTGGTAAACAGTGTCAGATATCTCTCGTATCTAGCAGTAACTGCAAGGCACCTACCCAGTACCAAAGAACATGTACTCAGTTCCGACTGCGATCATCTGATGTTTGATACCTTCTCCTTCGTCTTCGCGCATTTCCGAAAATCTAAAGGGTTTGAACTTGTGCGGCTCGGAATAGTATTTCTACGAAGCTGTGTGTCAAGGAGACAAGAAAGCGTAAATCGCGGAACAGCTCACCTCGTCATGATGAATGGACCATGCGGCGGCGCCAACCATCGAACCCTTCGGCACCGTTGTCCCATCCGAGAACGTGAAGTCCTTCAGCGCTTTCCTCACAACAAACACTCAAATGGAAGTTAATATGCAGGGATAAGGTGCTAACCATTTGTTCAGACTTACCGCTGCCGAGACCCTCATGCCTAGCCGCCTCCTTCAAAAAGCTGTCCAATTTACGCATTTGCTGCATGGCAGCTTTGGTCCAACCTTGCTCTCGAATTATGGTCTCGACTTCTTCACGAAGCTCGTCCACGTATTGGGGATGCGCGGCTAGATAGAAGAGGGAGAGAGAAAATGTCTAGAAAAGTATGAATCAATGCTTGTGCCCAGGTCTTTGATATGTGGAGCTCCAACTTTACCATTGTCTGTGAATAGCGTCAAAAAAAGGGACCCGACCACTCATTCAGAATTGCACGCACCGTTGTATGAATAGCAGCAAAGTTGATGGTCAATATACGCATCACAAGGTCATGGACCGTCCTGCGCTCAATAGAGTTCGCTTCCTCCATAAGCCACGTCAAGAAATCGTTCTGTAATCGGTTGTTATCACACTTCATGCAAAATCATGAAGGATTGACTCACAGGCTTATCTGGAAAGTCATGACCATATTCGTCCATCATCCTCCAGCGCTCCTCGATGATTGGCTGTAGATGTTTTGTGGCCAATTTGATAGTCGAGTTCAGTGGCGTGATGAGTTTGCCCACAAGTCTGTTACATGAGCACCTCAGCATCCTTCAACTTCAATAATTTGTGAAGGACTCGCCCTCTCATGAATTCGGGGAAAAGATTAATTATCCTGGCTGCAACCACGACCTGTATGGTAAACTTCACATTGATGTCCTGGCCAAAGAACATTAGTAGGCTGGAGTGACTGAAACTATATCTTCCTACCATGAACTCGGGGTGGCGGCACAGAGGTAACCCAACGAAAAGACGATTGCTGGTCCTGGCGATCACCTTCATGATCTTACTATTCAGATGAACCTTGGTCCAGTCTGTATGGCGATAAGATGTGAAGGCGATAATTATTCAGCTTGTGCGCTCACCGTCTGTCTTTGGGACAAGATCATCGAAAGCCGCCTCGATTTCGTCTCGCACGTCGGGGAATTTGTTGCCGAGATTTCTGGTCATGGACCCTCGCACAATATCGATGTGATACGGGTCAAGATACATCGGCGCGCCCAGTGTGTGGTCCATTTGCATCGTCTGTGCACACTGTGAGTAGATCTCGAAAAATCACGACTTCGAGCCCATACGTCATTGTTTGCTTCGGTGAAAGATAGCACATCGTCGGGCGCTTTCCTCAATTCATCGAGCAGTTTTGGTGTCGTCACAATTACTTGCCAGTGTTCCAAAAGAGGTATCTTAAAAACACGTCCCTGATACTACAAAACGCTTGGAAAATCTGGATGACGACAAACACGCAAGCTTACCTTTTCGTATCCTTCTTGAACTAAGGATTTTGCATGACGAAAATGCTTGATCGCTGAGATCCAAGAAGAGATAAATCCAGATGAACCAAGGGTGGGTATTGCTTCGAGCTGGGCACATGCGTCAAGAGCCGAACACACCAGAAACGAATTGGCTGCCACACACCTTTTTACTCTGAGCGCGAAATTGTAAAAATTTCGAAGATAAGAAAAGAAGGCAGAGCACTATTAGAGTGTACCCGACCACAGTATTGTCGGCCATTGCGAAGGTACGGAGACAATTTCCTGATCAAACCGACTTTTATAAGGTTTTCGATGCGTTGAATAAGATGAATTGGCAATCGGGGCCCGTTTCAAGGAGGTGTCTCCGGTGCGGGTACGTGAGAATGTGTGGCCCCTGTAAAGGTAATGCCTCTATCAGCTCAATAGCGAAAGTTCCATGTATCACTTCCCCGCCTCAATGCCTCTTATACTCCCTGTTCAGCCCCGGGCCTCGTAACTTGTTGGAGTACCATTTCTCCTGCTCTCTATAGAAAATAGAATGAGCGCAGGAGCCGTGAATGATGGTCAAATTTTACATTGTTTGAACGCCCTTCGCCTATTGTACGTTCCGCCATGATAGCCAGGGAATGGTGATGGGAGAGCGAAGGACAGTGATGAAAATGCGAACGAAAGCGAGCGTAGTCACATGACATCTCTAGTGAGTACTCGGAGCTAACTTAATAGTAAGTTGGAATCTGAGCAGTGAACTGCTGAGCAACTTGTCCCCAATGCACTTCAAGCGAGATATATTGAACGTTTCTTAGAGCAAAGGTCTTTGGAGTTCATCAGATCAGTTATTGGACAGTGTCAAATCAACCCAGTCATGATATCGTCCTTTGAGCCCAAATAGAACACTGGAATTGAATTGAGAGGAGCATTCACAGTGACTATTTTCCCACCAGGTCCGAAGTCTTCGTCCGTCCACCTGCATGCACATTAGTCCTCAGCGTCGAATTGACGAAAACCGTCCGACTTGCCAATGTTTCCAGCTATCTCCAACGAAACCGCCAGGGATTATTGGTAGGTATACATCCTTTATGATCGCTCCAATCTCATTCACGGGGGCGATAAGCAGGTGCTGGCCTTAACCCCACTTATCAGTGGGACGACACTTTATCAGGTGTATGACAACATACCGAACATATATTGGTGGACGATAATGGGATCATTCGCTTTGGTCCCACTCGCTACGAAGGGATCTGACAGAGAAAAGTCATAGTACAAGGGGCGCATAATCGACTTCCCCGTTTCTTGCAGTTGGCTGAAGAGTCTCTTGACATATGGGATGAGCTGGTATCGGAGGGCGATATACTAGAAGCGGCATAAGTTGTTGGTTTCACCCCGAGACATGGGCAATAGACATTCACCTTCTTGAGAACCAGGAAGTTGTCTTCGCCATACGCCCATGGCTAGGAAATAGTCGTTAATGATAGACGACTGATACAGAGAAACGACCGACTTCATTCGGGCAAGCATTCGCATTTGAAGGTGGGCGAGGAGTTGGAATGCTACAGTCACGATCACTACATATAATGACATCAGACCATCTCATGTCAAGGATCGTGTAGAGTACGCACCCATGTACCCGCATCTAGAGGCCATGTCAGCAAGTCAAACAATGTAAGGACAAGAACATTACCACTCACATATGGTAGAAATGTTCCCATCGCAAACCACCTCACGAACAACTCGCGGTCCTAGTCGTGGATGTTGAGGCCAGAACTTAAATGGCGCAATTAAGGAACCTGGCTTACCTGATCAGATTCAACATTCAGACCAACAAACCCTCCAATATCAAGTGTCCATGAAGAAATACCAGAGGCTGCAGCTGATACACCAGTTGATATTTGCTGCAACATCACGTCAGGCCGAGAACGGGTATCACCACTCCAAAGATACGAGCAGAATCGTTGCCCTCCGATAAAAGTGCTTCGTGTCAAAGACATATATTGACAAGAGGTAGGAAGAGAATTAGAGCCTGTCAGATTCTGGAAACCTTCTTCGATAGCTTGTTGTTGGAACCATGGGTACATCTTCCCTGTTGATTCCTGCTGGCCTATGTAATATTGCGTGAAGGCCCGGGCATATGGAATATTGGAAACGTCGCCATCACCAACTGCGGGCGGGTGAGCACATGGTTGAGGATAAAGACGGTGATCTCACTGTTTTCGACAGGCTCGCCCAGCACTCCGCCTAGCATGGCATCGGAAGTTCGTTAGGTCTGGGTACCTTGAAACAGAGGAAGCACTCTTACCATCCGCCTGGTCTATCCAAAAATTATGAATGCCTTTCGAGAAATAGCTTTCGTTGAGCCGCCGCCCTAGAGAGCGAACTTGGTGATTGATTGATCAGACATTTCAGCGAAGGATGCAGCCTACATAGGAACTGTCGAGCTTCTGGATTAGTGGGATCAACTGAAAAGCTGGGAGTTAGACCGAGAAAGGACCGAAGGGTACGAGAAACAAACATAAGCGGATATACACTCCGGTGGACGAGTCATGTACACCAGTACCGTCTCTGGTAGTGGCTAAAAGTCCTTGTTGCTGAAGTTGATTGTAGTTGACAGAGAGATCCTCCACGCTTGGCCATACAGACACCATCATCTCTGCCCCAGTCAATTCTTTCACTTGCCTGGCCATTTCCTCAGGATCGGGCCAGTATTCCGGATCAAACGACCTAGGTTGCTCTAGTTCAGTTCTCAATGCAGCTGAACCAGGAGAAATGAGGATACCAGTCGCCCTGAAATTTCCACGCAAAGAAGTCTTGCAGGAATGTATGTCAACCACGAGGGAAACGATCATTCGTTGAGCATGCTACAGCTTACCGACAACGATGAGCGAGACATTGACCTGCTCGTCATGGAAACGTTGCGCGATGTCGATGACCTGGCTTTGGTTGAAGTAGC